GACAGGTTACACATTAATTGTTCTTAGAGTTTTGACAGAGTTTCAACAGTCATTAAGAGGTTTCGCCCACAACCTTAAACCAGGTACAACCTTTATATAGATGATATTTTAAGTAGAACCATGACTGAGAATGAATATGACATTTACGTTTGTACACCACTGATACGTTTTGCATTTTTAGGAAAAAATGACATACGTATTTCTAGGTACATTATAATCTTATTTTATAGTGTATGAAATTCAACTTATAACCAGTACAAATTTAGAAACTACAAACAGAAATTTTTGATTTGATTAGATAATTTCCACAAACGCTATACTTAATTTTGTACACTGATAACAATTTTGAGAATTTTATTCAACATAATTTAGTGGTGAAGTTTCGTCAAAATCATATGAAAGTCTTAAAAAACTTGCCCAGTTACAAACTAGATCTGGACCAAGACTTGATGCCAAAGCATTTATTTTATCAACTGGAGTAGAAGTATTGGTTCAAGAAAATGCAAAAAATGATATTTATAGTAAACGGACAAATGACTTGTCAAAATTGGAATACTGCACCAAAATCTTACTGTCAAGTGCTTTTCTGGCCTTACCTCCTGCAGCTCAATCTGAAATATATAAGTTTGAAACTTACACAATTCAAACCAATGGTAAATAGTCCTTCTTCACATATCTTACAAATAATGTTTATAACATTGTTCGATATTGTAATGTTTTCTCTTTTTTAGAACTTACGTTAAAATTGGGTGTATCATCATATATGTTTGAAGAAGTGATATGTATGCTTGAATTAACTGAAATAACCATTCCACAAACCATAGAAGCATTTCCAAAATGCATAGAAGCTATATACAAGGTGCTTTCATGGAAAGTTAGTATCCTAAATTTACTATTATTTTTTTCTGTATTTTTTTTCTTTACTGATTTAAAATCTTCCATTTTATAAGTCTCGTTCACGAAGAAATACCAATATTTATCATGAATTGTTAAGTAAGGCTTCAAGCGATTTAAAAAAAAAGAAATTTTTTCCATCACCAAGGTTATTAAATCCTAATTACATGTAAGTTTGTCAAAAAAATTTTTTTCACCAATATTGACATCATTGCCAGTGTTCGAAATTCAATCGGCGGAATCGGCGCGCGCAGTAAGTTACACAAAATTTTGTGTGCGCAAAATTTTTTAACAAATCTAATGTGCGGATTTTAATATTAATATTAAAAATTAAAAACTTCCTTCCACATAATAATTAACAATAATAATAAATAAATAATCAATTATTAATAAATAATAAAATAATAATTAAAATGATAATTAATAATAATAGATTATTATAAAAATTATTCCGGCTTATATCTCTATAAAAAATAAAATACGGAAAATAAATGTCCAAATATTACATTATTATGAACATTTACATATTTATTATTTTATTTGTATTACATTTTATTTTTATTCGTGTAACGTCAAAATTGGTTAACTTTATTTAGAAATTAGCATCGCAGTTAGAATGTTACGTCACAATTAAAGTGCGATATCGCGGCTAGAATGCTAGATTGCAATGAAGTTGTTACTAATTAATTTAATTGTATAAAAGAAGCTCAAATTTGACTTGCTTGTAAAATAACTTTAACATTGTAATAAAGTTTTAAAGTTAACTTAGTAATAAGTTAATAAATTAGTTTCGACTAAATAAAATGTTTTTCTTAAATCACTAAACCAAAATTATTCACTAATAAAACTAATTCATTAGTAGCCAATTCATTCTGATTCACATAATCATAAATTTTATATTGTTATCATCAATTAACATGCTCTCCCAAACAATAATTGGTGACAATATTAATGAGAAACTCCCTAATACTAATACTAAGTAGTCATGATAGCTTTCATCAATTACAACCAATTTTTTATATGAAAGTTGTCTTTGAAAATTCATTTTGCATCCTTGCTGCATAGCAATCATCCCCAAGTTCAAGACCTAGATTCTTGGTTATAAACGAAAAATAATGGTCAATATCAAAATTACTATATTTAGAATTCAGTGTGGTACAGTACACTAACTTATTTATATCCATCTTATCCATCTATCTATTCATCTAAAACAAAGAAATAATATTATGAATGTGTCTGGTAATGTTCTATCTCTATTCTAAATTTTCAAATGATTTACTTGTTACAATAAAAAATGGGTGTTGGCATATTTATGAGAAACTATTTTAAATTCAAGCCACATAGTGAATGGGATTTCAAATCTTTCTGTTCTTTTATGAAAATACTTGGATATGATGATTATAGTGAAATAAATATTCATTATAAAAGACAAATAGGAAATATTATAAAAGATGAAAATGAAAGTGACGCCAACAAAAGTGCTGCACAAGAATTTAAAAAAGTTAGTTTTTTTGTTAATATATATATTAATATAATTATACAGTGATGAAAAAAAAAAATCATTCTTATTAATGATGACTGTTGACCCTATTATGGCTTCAATTTGTTGAGAACTGATCCATATTTATGGCTTGGTGACCAACCCATGTTTATGGCTTGGTTATTTACTGAAAAGCAATCAATATAAACATTAAATTTTTTTTAAAGAAAATTACTTAATAGTTTTTATCTAATAATAGAAAAATGTCCTTTTACAATTATCGTCATTTGAACCATCATCACCATCAGCAGCTGAATCATCACAAACTGAATCACCATCAACACCAACAAAATCATCATCAATACTAACAGAATCATCATTAACACCAACAGAACCATCATCAACACCAACAGAACCATCATCAACACCAACAGAACCATCATCAACACCAACAGAACCATCATCAACACCTTTATATGATGAAAAAAATGATGATGGATTCACATTATGTGAATTAATCAAAGAAGCACTATCAAAAATTGATTCAAATGCTTTTTTAAATAGCCATGGAAAGTCAAAAGATGGTAAAAAATATTAGAAAGACTTTGGCAGGTCGAATTATATTGTGCATTAAAAGAACATTTGTATGAAAAAGCAAATATTTCATTAAAAGTACAGTGCAGAAGCTCTATAATAGGAACAAATGTTGCCTTTTTTTAAAGGGTGTAGATCACCCAAAAAAAATTTTAA